TCATTATCATTACTACTATTATAATCACTACTACTAGTTTTATATATTACGCAAATAAAAATAAAATACATCATCATTATTACTACAATTACGATTTTAAATGTAATAAATGCAATACGTATTATTATCATTATTAACAAGAATGAAACACCTTGAGTTCTCGTTTGGTTGAACTGGTGAATTTGATTGATCAGGGATATAATATGGCTCTGGAATATTCACATCATTAAAATTGAGATTATCAAAGTTATTGAAATTATCACCATTAATATTATTATTATCACTGATATTAACATTATTATCACTTTCATCACTTTCATCACTGACATCACCACCATTATAATTGATGGAAACAATTCCTTCTGAAATCGAGATTTGATTTTGAGTCGTTTTCGTTGTTCGTCTTCTTTTCTTATTATAATTGATGGAAACAATTCCTTCTGAAATCGAGATTTGATTTTGAGTCGTTTTCGTTGTTCGTCTTCTTTTCTTATAATTGCTTTCGTTATTATCAATATAAACAAGGTTTTCTCTACGAATTTCAGTTAATTCGTTTTCTAATTGGGAAGAAAGCTGTCTGTAATGATTTTTCACACCGATTGGCTCCTTATTCCACATTTCGCTTATATATTTGGAAATATATCTCATAGAAATCTTGTCACCAGTCGAAGTCTTGAGCTCCTTTACATACGAAGCACGATAAATAATAAATGCATTAATTCCACCGGCTTTGAAATTTTTGGCTTTGACTCTTTTGTCAATAAATTCTTTTATCGAGATATTTGGGGGGAACGAAGGTTTAAAATTTTGTAAATAATTGTTATTATTGAAATTCATTTTTTTTTTTGTTTTTTTTTTAAGTTTATTTTTTTAAAAAAATGAATTGGTTGCAAAAGTGATGGTTGATAACTTGAGAAATTATCATATTTATTATATATATATTGTTCATGTGATATTTTTATAGTCACATATTCTATATTTATAATTATGCAAGACAAGTTACTTGGAAAGTTGCAAAACAAGGCAAAAAACTCTAAGTAATGAAATTAACAATTTAAAAATGAAATAAAAGTAATAAAAACTAAAAATACAAACATTCGTAAAAAAATCAAAGAAATCCGAAACAAAATAAAAATTAATTATGAAATCAAAGTAGAATCCACTTTTTTTTTTTAATTTTCATATGACTATTAATAAATAATAATAATAATATTTAAATTTTTTAAAAAAAACTCC